AGTTATGTTTAATTGTGAATGAATTCTATATGAATAACATGGCTTATATACCTTGATCTTCAACATGTATTTTATTATAAAATATAATTTATTGATGTTTATAATTAATTACACAAACCACGAGGGGCAAAATTTTGCACTTAACGGTGTTATTATCAAAAATTATTTTCATGATTTCTGTCATAACTTATTCTTTAGTTAAATAATTATATAATTTATTTTGTTTCATAAGCTTAACATTGGTAATATTGCTACAAACAATACGTAAATGTTTACAAAATGAATAAATCTGTAAACTATTAATAATTATACAGTATGTTATATAATGATCTCAAACATAGCATGTGTTTTCAAATTGCATTGTTTATTATGTATCCGATATTAGTATTGCCAACTGTAATTTACTAATGTTTAAATTTAAGTGGGATTTTTCATCTCTTGTATGCAAATTAAAAATTATAAATATTTATAATAAAAAAATAATTTGTCTGTTGAATTAATTCTATAATAATAAGGTAAAACTATTATACTCCTTTATTTAATTTAAATTTTATTACCAAGCTTAATTGGCAACACTACCTTTTTGCACTATGAATTTACCAACACAATTTTCAAATCGATTAATTACATTTGCACAGATCGGTACAATCAAACATTTTGCACTATAAACAATATTTCAGTTTAAAGTACTTAAAATAATTAATTAATTTACGCAAACATTTAAAAAAAAGTAGTGATTAATGAAATCATAAATAAATCTTTTAAATGATTATGGTATAAATATTAGTGCGTTTGAAACAACAAAATCAGTTAACAATAATATAATATTGTAATCATAACTTTTAGTTATTAAATAAGACGAAAAGTTATAAAATACTGTAATGTTTGCTATAAAAATGCAATTATTATTTGTTGGCATTGTATTGGCTTTCGCTTATACTACCGGTAAATATTTTCATTTAGCTTGTGTTAACTCTCTATTAACTAATTTTAAATATTTAGGCCAAGACATACCAAACCTGGACTTTCCGCATACATTCAATGAAAATGAAAGCGAGAATCAGACGTTAGCATTGGCCTACACTTTGGGCGATACAATTAAGGGTTATTTAGGGGCTGAACAACAAAAAGACAACGCAAATGGTTTAACAGTCGTCGCCCAGTTCTACCAAGACTGTATAGATGCGTTTAAACCCATTGTACCATGGTTATTTGGCGAATTGGACAAACTTAATAATCCTATAGTAGAACATGCCGTGAATACAGTTGTGATTGGTCAGTTTTATGATTTTGCCATTTTGTCTGAGCGTTTGTCTGAACTGCGGGCCGTTAAGCCCCTGTCGGTCACCGGCAATGAGTACAACCTTATCAACCGTTTAAAGGCATTAGAGAGTCGAGTGTTGGCCGCCGTTGGGTCCGCACAGTCCAGAAATGCGCGACAATTGCAAACTTTTCCACTTTTAAAAGCTTATTACGATAAGGTAAGTTTTTTAGTGTTATTTTATTATTGAATAAATTGATTAATATTCATTTACCATGCTTATTTTTAGATCAATGCCTTTTTAAGCGCTGAATTCCCCAAATTGAATAAAGCAATCGGTAACTTACCCTCAGCTGCACTCAGACAGCAAACCATTCAACAACTGATCATCGATCTGACACACTTGACCCAAATACCATATGTGCTTTAATTATTATTAATATTAATATATCAAATAAACGATCATAATGTATTAATTAGTCACTTTATTAAATATTTTAATGAACCAATCAATGATTCTAATTGTATTGAATAAAATAAAATTTTGCATTTAAATTATAATGTGACTGATTTTGTGTTTTGATAAGTACTGTAGATCAAAAAGGCGCTTGAGTGGGCATTTAATTTCAGACTGCACTTACTTGTTATACAGCAAAACATTTACCAACTTATCTAGGATATAACAAATTTAACCCAAATGCCCTTTATAATTTAATTTTCAATATGTCTAAAGTTTAGACTCTAAACAGAAAAACAAAATTTTTAATTAGTTATGAATTGATTTTCATTGTCGGTTATACAGCTAATATTTCGACATTATTTAATATTTAAACTAAAATTTAAATTTAGTCAATACGTGTTATTTTGAAAACTATAGATTTATTGTTCTTGCAATGGGTTTAATCAAAAGCATGTGATGAGAGAATGCCATAATGTGATGAAAAAGCTTAGGGGATGATCACTGGAGCTAATCCAGTGTAGATAAATGTGATAGAGCTTTAGGTGTGTGTGCGATGAGAAGCACCCGATGGAGTCAAACAGTACGAAACGGTAGTTAAGGGACCAAAATCATGTGACGATCAGATTTACCATAGGGTGAGGTGTATGTTATATTTTGAATGAGGTTCGAGTTTGTTACGGATGATGCAGCGATGTATCGATGGATTAATTTTTCCATCACTAATGCTCGCTCAATACAATTTGCTTCAATAATTAGTTAATTGACTATTTTACTAGTGCTTGTGCACTTGGTAACACAACTGCATTAAAATACTTCATTATTTATTTAAAATCTATTTGAAAATTAAATACAAATGCAATACAAAGTGTATACATGTAAAGTATATTATAGTATAGTATGTTAAACATGATTCAGTTTAATCCGGATTATTATAGATAATATTAAACTTAAATCTTTATATCAAATTAAACATTAGATAATACTGTTTTAAACTACATATAAATTTATATGGTTAATAATTTATTTATTGGTTAATTTGAATAAATTAAGTTGGGTAATTGTATTAAAATAAGATTTAAAGGACAATTTTAGCTAATTTATAAATAAATGTATTTATTAATAAACAAATTAGAAATTTATTGATCGTCTACACAATTAGTATATTTATGAACAAATAATAATTTTAAAATGCACTAAAGTTTGTAATTTATGTAACTTATTTATCGTATCTAGTGTAAACAGCGAAATTACATCTAGCACAAAATTACTTTTTATGCAAACATTATGATTAATTTAACAGGGTCGCGTTTAAATACTTCACGTTGTAGAATTAAAGTAATTTTGATTAATTTTATTATTTATAAAAATATATAAATTTATAATGCATTATAAATCAAAATTTGATTTACATTTAAATATATATTTAATGTATAAACTTATTGTGTTTATTAATATTAAAATATAATTTATACTTTGTTAAAATTAAATATTTATTTTTTATTTTAAAATTGAAACTCACTCCCGTGGCACACTTTTTACATTCCCGAAAGTGTTGAAATCAATTTGTACTTGATTCAAAAATAATAATTTTGATTCTCTCAACATAATAGTGTGTATCAATTGACACTTGTTT